CCTGAAGTGGGACACTCACATTGACTCCATTGTGAAAAAGGCCCAGCATAGGTTGTACTTCCTTTGCCAGGTGAGGAAGTTCAACCTGCCTCAGGAGCTGCTGAAACAGTTCTACTCCGCCATTATTGAATCTGTCCTCTGCACTTCAATAACTGTCTGGTTCAGCTCAGCTACCAAATCTGACCTCAGAAGACTACAGAGGGTAGTCCGGACTGCTGAGCGAATCATTGGTACAACCCTCCCTTCTCTCCAAGAACTGTACTTATCCAGAGTGAGCAAAAGGGCTGGCAAAATCACTCTGGACCGCTCACATCCAGCACACTCCCTCTTTGAACTGTTGCCATCTGGTCGACGCTACAGAGCACTGAGCACCAGAACGACCAGACACAGGAACAGTTTCTTCCCTCAGGCCATCCATCTCATGAACACTTAACAATAACTGTGGAACACACTATTTATACACATTTATCTAACACTCGTACTCAGTCTACACCTCAAATTTGCACATAATATACAGTACCTGTACTGTCAGGGATCTGGAAGGAGGACCCAATTGCAGTGAGAGTAACAAGGGTTTATTAACAAAACAGATAAACAGATCCATACAAAAGGGTTGTGAGGTGCACAGGTGATACCACAACAGGAACAATAAACAGATAGCTAGGGAAGGCCACTGGAACAGCCTCAGACGTCCACTGGCAGAATACTATAGCAGCAGAGGTGGCAAGACCAGGCCGGGAGAGAGACCAGAGCAAGGCAGCAGAGAGCTGAGCTCAGATACTTGTTGACCATAAACTCTGAAGCACCCCAGACGCCAGGCAAGGGAATCAGTGGACAGGAACGCTAACACCACAACAAGACAAAACATAGCTCCACAGGAAAACAAATTACTCCAAGACAGGCCAGAGAATAAACAAAAAAGGACTAATAAAAAAAACCCTAAATATTATTATTAAATCAACCAACACAAATAACCCCAAAAAATTAAAACAAAAGATCAGGACTAAGAGAACTAAATAAATACTAAATTAAAAGGCAAAAGGACAAAAACAGACCTCATCCAAAAACAAGGAGCAAGACAAGAACATAGAATTACAAGAGACAAGACTAGAGCACAAGATCAAACAGACAGGGAGACAGGAACACATAATCAGCCACATCCACAGACAGAGATAAACACAGTGAGGGAAAGAGTGACCACGAACCAGCAAAGACATTAGGGCAAGGGGCACTATAAATAGGGAGGAAACCACACAAGGAACAAGTGAGAGCAATTACACTAACAAGGACTCAATGAGGGCTAACAAGAGGGTGTGGTAATGAGGAAACCAGGAGGAGGGGCTAAAAGCAGCAAATGGCCGAGAAAAACAACCAACTAGGCCATGTGCTGACAAGACAACATAGACACAAGAAACAAAACACAAGACAACCAAAGTGTCAGGGTAAAACACTGACACTGTACATACAAAACCTGCACATACAATTGTCAATTTATATATTTTTAAAAAATTTAAAAGTTTTTTGTTCTGTCACTGTCATTCTGTTACACAGTGTGGAAGCTTCTGTCATGAAAACAAATTCCTCGTATGTGTAAACATACCTGGCAATAAAGCTCATTCTGATTCTGATTTCCACTAGCTTTGCTCATCATATCGTCCAAAATCAGAAGATTAGCTTTGTTGGGAGGTAGTAAATGATCATCATTCAGAGATGTCGGTATTCCTTCAACAAATTTAATGTCATACAATTTAAGCAGGTCATCATACAGAGGTTGGCAACAGTTGTAAATATAAACAATGTTTTCAATTTTTTTAGAAATCATATTTAGACCATTTTCCATCAGTCATTTTACAAAATAGCTCTTGCCACTATTGGATGGCCCACGTATCACACAAGAAAAAGGGTGCTGGAATCTAAAGTCAAACTCTGAAGCATCCCGTACCCCTCTATGCATCATTGAATCAGTAGCCATAAGGAAGAGTGTTGAAATCAGGTAAAAGTCTGCGCTTATTATATACGACTTTGAACCTTTTGTCAACTTAGATGTTGTGCAGCGTGAGATACTTTTTATCCCTCACTATGTTTTCAGCACGAGCCAGGATGTATTGTGTATCGTTGTGAGACGTCACATAACCGTTAACCAGACCAATCAGGGAATCTAAACGGACAGCTAGGGAATTTCTAGCATTCAGCATTATACCCTTTAGCCTTCATGGTTAGCTTTCTGTTAGTTTACGCCTCTGACCCCCTCGTCCTTGTCTGTTCATGGCCACGTCGACTTCGATCTCGAACATGTCGTTGTACAATAACTGATCGAAAAGATTAATGTCATAATTATTACCAGGCATTAAAACGGTGTTAACGGGTGATTTCAAGCTTTCACATTCATCGTTAAATTAATCACGCTAGAGTCCCCGCCAATAGTTCTATAAAACGATGCTATCTCCTCAATTTTTTCGTGTAATAATATGTGATAGGATGCTAAATCCGTAGACCTTATTTCACGCATATTCATAGTCCTTCGCAATTCCACACTGTTAAATCGGTGGTTGGTGTTACGTGATATCCGTTTACGACCGTTTAGCGGGAAGTCGACAGTCGCTCAGCGTCGTTATTACCGGAAGGAGCATCGTTGACATTACCTGTAGGGGGTGCTGGCTAATGCATAGTGTTGTCAGACGGATCAGTGATATGGTCAGAAACGGTTAATGTACCACCATTCTGTGCAACGTTTTGGCTTAACTGTTGGTCGTGTCTCTTTATCGCGGTCTGCAACAGAATGCCCAAATCAACATTTAGACTTTGTTCTATTGCAGATTCTAATCACTGCAAATCATAAGCATTTTGGTTGTGATCAATATTAAATGGCATTTCTGTATTATAATTTGGATACTGATCTAACAATCATTGTAATATGTCGCACAAGTTATGGGACGTCTCTGTGTGCATTTTAGTAGCGTTCTGTAAAAGGTCTGAGAGAGATTGGTCTGAATGACGGCTATGCGAATTCTCAGCATCCATTTTTAAATTTATTTAGAAACAACAAAAGTGACCAATTTGAAAATACAAAATTATAATGATGTTAACAAACATGATAACAGAATTATTAAAACATGTAGTGTAAAATCAGAACATGGAAAAATCTGAAACAAAACTAAATTCAGAAATACAAAAATCTGGTGAGTTTTCTGGTGACACAAGGTGAAAAAATAAGAACAAGGAAAAATCTGTTACAAAACTAAATTATATTGAAAAACAATCGCATCGTGTCATCTATCATGGCTGTAGAGCATCGTTTAGACTAGAAAGACTACTCATCATCCTGACGTCTCACCGTCAGTTGCTCACGTAAACGTGATCAACAGCAAAATTTTCAGCCAGCCCCCTGTTTGCAAGCTGTGCAAACAATTCTCTGACGATTAATGCTACTGATTTAAATTACCTTATTGTTCGTGACCCCTCACGTCCTGGGCGTCCATTCGGTTAATAAGTTTGTTGAAGAAAGCGGCCTGCCTGTTAATCAGCTCTTCATGCATAGAGTCCTGCCTTTTGAGAAGGTTGTTGAAAAAAGTGTCCTGTCTGTTAATCAACTCTTCGTGCAAAGCATCAAATCTTTAATTCACATCGTCGTTCTGTCGGTAGTCTGGCAACGATTCAGTTTCTTCTTCCTCAACCGGTTCTTGAAATTCAGTTTCTTCTTCCTCAACCGGTTCTTGAAATTCAGTTTCTTCTTCCTCAACCGGTTCTTGAAATTCAGTTTCTTCTTCCTCAACCGGTTCTTGAAATTCTGTTTCTTCTTCCTCAACCGGTTCTTGAAATTCATTTTCTTCTTCATCAACCGGTTCTTGAAATTCTGTTTCTTCTTCCTCAACCGGTTCTTGAAATTCAGTTTCTTCTTCCTCAACCGGTTCTTGAAATTCAGTTTCTTCTTCCTCAACCGGTTCTTGAAATTCAGTTTCTTCTTCCTCAACCGGTTCTTGAAATTCTGTTTCTTCTTCCTCAACCGGTTCTTGAAATTCAGTTTCTTCTTCATCAACCGGTTCTTGAAATTCTGTTTCTTCTTCCTCAACCGGTTCTTGAAAAGCGAGTGGCTGGTCCAACTGGCTGTTTCCCATTCGTTCAGCGGAGTCTCGGCCCTAAGCTGATCATTATTGAGACGCTCTCGGTCACCGTCTGTAGAGCAAAAGGAGTTGAAATTAAAAGTCGGACATCTAGAACATAGTCATATCTACGATGTAAGTTAAAAATATTGCTTAGTTAACAGGTAATCTTACCGTCAACTGCGTCTTCAACCATTATGATCGGAGTTACGATCGCAACTAGTCTTTTCTTTCTCTCGGGGGCGACCAGCGGCGCGTCAGCCTCTCTCGGGCGCTTCTGTGTATTTGTGTTGCTTGGTTGGGGTTTATGTTCATCCTCCTCCTCGTCCTCCTCAGTCAGGTCGATAATATTGTCTTGCACCACTGCTGTGGGCAGATCTGTAAAAATAATTAAAAAGATTGTAACGGACAAAACGTTACTTGGTTTTATTATTGTAGTTTCACTCCACTTTTATTCTTGGTTTCATAGTGTGATGTATTTGGGTCACATGTAGTACCACTAGGAGCAGCTTGAGGGCGCTATTGCCTGGAGGTAACCGGACATATAAGCCCGATCACCATAGAGTAAGTCAGTTTGTTCACCGGCTGCTGTTGCCTTTAGCAACTTCCCCTTAAGGCTGATGAGCTGACGCAGAGGTCATGACATTGCGGATGACTTGAGGATGTTGGAAGCATTCAAGGAGGAGGAGAAAGAAGTGCAGAACATCGCAATCTTGATGGTAGTAGCACATTCAATATGACAGAAGCAGAGACTGACAGTCTTTATCCTCACTAACTATTATACTGTAGCAGCTTTATGGCAAATGCCTTATAAAGTTTTAGGTATTCCCTGCTCCCATAGGATGCACATTCAGTTTTAAGGGAGGTTAGGCCGTGATGTTTGTTTATAATACCCAATAGTTGCCAGATGCTGTCCTGTGGGAAGTTCTTCTTCACGTGGTCCTGGAGGAGGGTGACGCTGCATTGTTTAAGCGGTCTTTGGTTTGTTCCAAACAGACTCATTTTGAAAGAGGGCACACTTCTGCTGGCTTGACAGTATGTATTTTTTTTTTTTACGTATTTGATTAAAGATGTTTAAAATGGTGCCATACCATTCAATTTCTCAGTTGCCATGTCTGAATGTTTATGTTTGTAATAATGCTATTTTTATGCTCCTCATTTCAATATACAGGTGTAACAAGATGGAGAACTAAGTCTGAGCCATGCCAGGAATTTTTCTGGGCCTAACAGAACTGCATTTTACCATTGTACAGGTGATTAGGACGGGATCCTGGTCGGAGACAGGAGCTATGCCTGCAGGCATTACTTCATGACCCCAACCCTGGACTACAAACCCGTTACAATGCAGCCAGGACAAGGGCACGCATTGAAATGACCTTTTGGGCAACTAAAGGGAAGGTTTCAGTGTCTGAGGGTTGCACCTGACAGGGCATGCAACATTGTGGCATGTGCTGTATTACACAACATTGCCACCATCAGAAAGGAGTGAGTGAGTGAGTGAAGTGACATGTGGCCAAGTATGGTGACCCATACTTGGAATTAGTGCTCTGCATTTACCCATCCAAAGTGCGCACACACACAGCAGTGAACACACACAAACCGTGAACATACACCCGGAGCAGTGGGCAGCCATTTATGCTGCGGCGCCCGCGGAGCAGTTGGGAAGAACAACTTGCTCAAGGGCACCTCAGTCGTGGTACTGAAGGTGGAAGAGAGCGCTGTACATTCACTCCCCCCACCTACAATCCCTGCCGGTACGAGACTCGAACCCACAGCCTTTGGGTTATGAGTCCGACTCTCTAACCATTAGGCCACGACTTCCTGAAAGGAGAGGACCCCGGTGGTGGAGGTGCAGCCTGATGATGACCTCCAGCCAGTGCACTTGGACCAACCTAGTGGCAGAGCTGCACGGCACAGGATTGTGGAACACCATTTCTTTTGCCTGCAAAGACAGATATTGTTATGCAAGGTCAACAGTAGTGCTCAGTGTCAAATGGTGTTTTACTACTTACTCTGAAGTTCCTGTTGCAGAAACTCTATTTCTAGTGCAATTTTCTTCTTCATTAGCTTTTGGAGCTCTATTTGTCCCCTCAATTTTAGTTTTTTTACTTCCAAATATTCAACCTTATGCTGCAGGCTACGTTTATAGAGGGAACGGATGGCACCCTGTGCCATTTACACATGCCACAAACAAAAAAATTAAATAAAATTAGAAAAAAGACAAACTGATATGCAACACTGTCCACCTCTGTATCACTTCTCTGTGCAGACTCCTGCAACTCATATTGCTGTCAAAAATAGAAAGTACTTTAGTTGATACAAATTTATAGTGTGTAATTATGCACTTACAAGTACTTCCTCCAAAGGACACTTATCCGAGAGGGTCTCTTCACTGTCCTGTGCAATGAAAATAAATGGCATGACAAAGTGATACACTGTCTTCACTATTGATATTTCACTATTGAACTACAACAAAAAATAAATTACAAGTCCACTTACTGCACATGCTTCAGCCGCCACTTGCATGGCAACATGTAAAAGTGTGGGTGTGTTATTAGATTTTGGAACTCGCCACAGCCCTCCATCAAGAGTTCTTGCTCTGCCGACGAGAAAAAAGTAGGCGCGCTCTTTGGCCCTTGTGGGCAACCAATAATACCGTTGCAGATCAGTGTTTCTAATATCCATACATATCCCCTTTTAAACCAGCGCATGAACCGCAATGATCTCAGATAACTCAATCCAGCCAGACTAATCATTACGGTTTATTTATTCAGACAATTCTGATTTCAATTTGTAATGATAAAATCAGCTTATAATGTATGCATATGCATTTTAGATATTTTTCTGTTAGGTAGTTTCTCACGTTCAGATTCTCTGACATGGACGGAATAGGCCGACAAAATAATGCATTACAACGTTTTTTTTTTTTTGTGAAGCACTGTTGTCGTTGTCTTGAATTAATTTTTTTAAATGGTCTGAATGAATGATTAAATGACTCATTAATACATACTTAACTTGTTTAATTACTGGATGATTCAGGGTTTTTTAATGAATCTCTTGAATGATTCAATGACAAATACATTTGTTTAACAGTCATTTGTCGGCACTAGTGCTGTAACGTCACTGATATACGACCTTGCCCCCCCTCCCCTCTTTTGCCCCACACACCACTGAACTCTGACCCTCTGATGAACTCTCCCACTCCCCCCTCCCAAATACACACACACACGGTCACTTTAATCAGTCTAAATAAGCTCTTTTGCACTACAAATCATTATATCTGCACTGTTGTTACTTCACTGGTTTGCACTGTTTTTTATTATTATTTTTTTTTTTACATTTTACCTTATTTGTATATTTTTATAGCTGTATTTATATTTAATCTGTATCTATCTGTATTTATGTTCTACTGTTAGTGTTATCTGTATGCACCAAGGGTCTGAGAGTAACGTAATTTCAATTCTCTGTGTGTATGTGCTGTACATGTGGAAGAATTGACAGCAAAGCAGACTTGACTTCACTTGATAATTGATCATAATAATTAAAATGGCAGATATTTCTTGTTAATGACATGACATTGATTCAACATAGATATTTTAATTGTCTTTTTTTAATGATTTGTTTTTGTTAAAAACATTTTTAATGATTTAGCATTAAACTTTATATCAACATTGTGTAAACGTTAAAACAGCAACTGACATTATTTCAATCATATTTCAACTTTGAAGGTTGGTCATGTGCCAACTAGACTGAAAAGAAAAGTCTGTACTGTTGGTTCAAAAAGAAAACTGAACACAAAACACAATATACTAACTGAATGGAACTTTATTCTGAACATATGTGTCATATGCTGCAAACACAATTTCTGGATTCTTCCATCAGATACATGAATTTCAATTCTATCTTTCTTCACTTGGGCTATTTCATTATCTGTTACTAACCAACTGACCATTGCACTCTGGAGTACTTCTGTGAAATCAGGCAGCTTTTGCTAGGGGTTTGAGTTCTTCTACCCATCTCAAAACCACTTTAATCCCATTATTTTAATAGATAATTGGCTTTCTGTAACCCGTTCTTCATATTGCACAGTGACCATTTTCTGGATATTTTGAACCATTTGTATAGATTTTGAAACAACTATATGGAGATAAGCATGTGCTTTGCAGGCCATTGCTGATAGCACTGTGGGTTTAATTTGATTTGTATATTCCAGGGCTTTTCAACTGACTCATGAACTCTTCAACAGTCCTAAATGTACTGTTTAGTTTAGTTCTATCTCTAACCAAACTCACCAAACAAGCTAATCACAGCGTTCACAATTATTTGTGAATAAGAGACAGGTGTGTTTAATTAGTGTTTAAATTAAAGTCTGCTGTAGGCCTACACCGGCTCTCCAGGACTGGAGTTGAGAACCAGTGGCCTATTCACTTTATGTAGCCCACCCTTGGGCAAATACAATTAATCCCTCATTTGTGTTGCCCATAGAGCTCATCCACTCATTTCCCATTTGTGACCCAACTAGGACCCACATAGGGAGCCCATCTGTTTTTGCCCATGTGGGACCTACTTAGCTGAAGTGGGCCCCAGATAAGATGCCCATTTTGGGACCATGCCCACTTGGTACCCATGTAGACCCAGCATAAACCATGTGGGGCCCACATATACATGTTGGCTGGGTAAAGATTAAAAATGTAAAGTCATCATTCATTGTTTGAGTCCGGTAGTATCTTGAGATTTCATGGAAGGCGGAAATACTCTGAAAAGAGCTTATATTGAAAAATACACGGACTTCGCCTCAGAAATAGTCTTAACGGCCTCTTTTACTGAACGGAAGAGGTGCTTTTAATATAATGTCAGTGAGTGTCTTATGTCATATTTACATACGATTTTACAATATTTAAATTTTTTGAGGTGTTAAGAGAGGGTTAGTAACATATTTACATGTTAATTTGGTTTTGCGGTTAAATTGAATGTAGTTTCCTAAAGGAAACGGCGTTATGTAATAAAGACTAGCCTAATTATTTTGAGGCTGATGAAGTGATAATTGTTAAAAGTAATGTTTTGCATGTAATATTTCAGACATGTTGAGCTTTGTATCTTCAATGTGCCAGCGCCGGGAGTTAAGGACACAGAAGCCTACTTGTGTGAGGAGGCGATGTTCTCAGCTTCTTCAGAAGAGAGGGAAAGACGGTGAACTTCAGAATTCCATCAAGTTATCTTTTATTTTACTAAGAGTACAATTATGTTTGTTTTTGTAGATGTTGACAGCCAGAGGCATAGGAGAGCATCATTCTTTTGAGATTGATGTGAGTTATTTTTAGAAAATAAATGGTTCTGTTGTCTCCTGCCTGTTTACCTCACATTCTGATGCAACAACAGTATGATTACGTGCTCATATTTTATGTAAACCATTGATGTCTGTGTTTTTCATTGCAGAACTCAAACCAATTTTGGAGTTGTCTGATTTGGAGAGTCATCATTCTTTTTCTTCCTTTCTTAAAGGAATAGTTCACACAAAATCATAAAAAATGTCATTGTCATTCCAAACCTATCTTTAGAACACAAAAGAAGATATTTTTAATTGTCTCTCATTATTTTTTGAGTCTAGATAATCAGTATTTTCAAGCTTCAAAAATACAGAGTTATTGTAGAAGTAATCCATGCCAATATTTATATATGAATAAATCTTAAATTATATCATAGCGAACATGTCTGTTCAGAAGAAAATACTGGTCTCCCAGACTTGCAATAGAGGACAAATATTAAGAGAATATTAAATATATTTATGTGTGTTCCAAACATTAGCAGAGTTTGTATGGAACAACACAGGGTGAATATAATTATTTTTTGGTGAACTAACCCTTTAAAGAGCAGCCCTCCACGTACGTGAACATTTGTGAGGTATGTGAATGTCATGTCTGTTTTAATGTTTCAGTAAAGAAGTAGCTTTCTGAAAGCAATATATTTATTTAAACAATATGACATGCCCTCACACTAGTGCTGCCATTACAGAGACATTAAACAACCACACAAACAGACTAGTTACCTATCCTTACTGATGTGGATGCACCTCTATCTGAAAATGGATAGATTTTAATTAAATGTTCTCTTTTTCAAATGTTTTTCTCTTTTTAGGCCACTGATGAAGAACAGGTGGTGACTGGGATGAATGCTGGTCGAAGAGGAGAATGTCCTTTCCCCCAAACTGATGCACGAGTGGTTTTAAAGGAGGAGGCTGCCCTGGATGATGTAAAAGATGCCTTTGCTGTGCTGATGGGGCTTCTTCATGACTACATCAGTTATGCTAAAGAGATCATGGAGACTGGCAGTGATGCCTGATCTGTATTCATGGACTATGAAACTTATTGTATATTGTCTTATTGTTATTGAAACTGTAAGTGTATAATTTGTAAAAAACTAAATGTTCAATTCTTCATTTATAAACTCTGTAGATGTTAACGCCGTACTTTTCTGCATTTTTGGCTTTAGGTGGACAGTGATC